GTTGCATTTCATATAGAAAAGTTCACATGCAAAATTTTAGCCAAAAATGTTCAGCCATTCACACGATATCAAGGTTTTAATATAGACCTGGTTTCCCAAAATGACCTGGTTTCTGTGTCATTTTAAAAAAACGTTTGCTCTAATAAAATGAAAAATAATGAAAATAAAAATATGAAAATTAGCATTTATAATGCTTTTCTAATGCAGAATTCAAAAAATGCACTTAGAATGCTGAAATATGAGCAGAACATGCTTTAAAATTAAAAACACACCTAATTTATATATTCAAACTTAGGGGTCATATATCTCAAAACACCCCCGTCTAGATTTTTTTTTTTTGCTTTTAATATTTTACAACAACTAAAACATATAGAACCATAGTTTCCAAGATACACCACTTTTATGGGTGCCCATAGCAATTTTCTAACGAGGGGGAGGGGTGAGGGAACAACAAAATATTTTTAGTGATGTTCTAATTTAGTTCAATTTACCAAGAATACTTAAAAAAAAGCATATTGCAAAAGACATGGTGAAAACAACTTTTTTTTATTACAGTTAGAGGGGAGGAGAATAGTGTTTCAATAACACCTGGCATTGCCATATCTCTGTCATTTAAACCATTTAGCCAATAAAACATATCAAACTACTTTGTATGAACAGTAGTTACTTAGTAGCGATAAGTTGTAGATGAGTTAAAAAATAGAAAGTAGGATTAAATCCAATGAGACATCATTGTTAACTCTTATCAAGCTCCAATTATCCTACAGCCAAAGATTTGGAAATATCTAATACTATATCATTATTTAATATATTTAAAACTAGAGCTTTTTTTTTTACTGAAAACTAAGTAGGAAAGATCTTTTTTTTTTTGTATCCTTCGAATTGCTTTTTTCTTACTGCAAAAGCATTCAATACACTTCATTGCAAACTAATTAAAAAATTAAAAGGGTATGGCATCACTTAAAAGCTGCTAAAAATCTTCCTAAAGATAGTACATGTGTAGCAAATTATAGAATTCTGTAAAGAATTAATTTTGGTTAATAGACTTTTTATATATTTAAGGAAGTCTTAATTATATGATAACTTAATTATATGAACTTAACAACTGAAAAAACATCCGGTTTTGTTTTTATATAAAAACATTTTATAAAAAATAATTGTTATGTTAATATGATATTTTTTTTAAATTTTGACAACTATAGTTTGTAAAAGTTTATTAAAAATTAGTTTATAAAAGTTTAGTTTATAAAAGTTCAGATATAGAACAACATTTATTGGTAAGATTATATTTAAATTTTAAAAAATTAATAATTTAAATAATATAATTATTTAAAAACTTCTTTTTTTACAACATTTATTAATATTAATAATAATAATATTAAGAACAACATTTAATAAAAATTATATTTATTAAAAAACTTTTTTTACATGCAATTAAGTAGAAGAATTTTATTTTTATTTTTAGGAAATACTTTCATACTAAATAATTTATCTTATTAAGATGTGTTCTATTGGGTTAATGACATCAGATGCTTGCGAAGGCCAACAAGATGTTATTGAAACTTTAAGCAATGAAGAAAAAATAATTATATCTTTACACTGTAATATTGAATTATCAAACTTAGAAATATTATGTGAAAGACATAATACAAAATATTTGAAAATGTATCCTATATGGCAGAAAGCTTGTTGTGATCCATTCAATAGACATACAAAGAAAATCACAAGTATGTAGCTGTAAAATTTAAATATTTCATTAATTTATGTTTTTCAAAAAATAACGAAAGTTTTGAACTAATGTGCAGACATACTTTATACAATTCAATTACTTTTAGAAAATCTTGGCGTAGTTACAATAAAAGAGTAACAAGTCATGATGAGAAATTGTTTGAATATTCCTCCTGGGAAGAAACTTTGCAAACCTTGTAAACAAAAGATTGCCAGAAAAAAAGAACTTACAGAAGAGGAGCAAAGTAAGAGTGAACAAGATGAGGATTTTCTAATATCACCATGCAAAAAAATAAGACAGGAGATCAATAAAGAACTCAAAAATTTTAGTTTATCTCCTCTAAAATCTCATTCAAAATCATTAAAACATATACTGTCAGAAGGAAAGCAAAAAGTTCCATGCATCAACGAAATGGCGTATAACGCTACTAGAAAAATTAAAACTCAATTTTCTTCAAAACTATGTTATGAAACCAATGGGATGAAAAAGAAGGCTGCAAACTTTGATGAAATTATGAGCTTGGTAAAAGAAAAAATTCTATGTTCTGACAAACGAACTATTGTTCAACTTCTAACACTGGCACCCCCAAGTTGGTCAATATTAGAAGTACAAAATAACTTTTTGGTTACAGAATACCAGGCCAAGATAGCTAGAAAAATTTTTAATAAAAAAGGATTGTTAGGTATCTCTCCATTGTATAAGGGTAAAGTCTTACATAAAGAAATAGAAGATTCAGTTAAATTGTTTTATGACTCAAGTGATTTATGTCGAACTATGCCTGGAAAAAAAGATTATGTCAGCATTCAAAAGAACGTCCACAAACAAAAAAAACTGCTTTTGTGTAATTTAAAGGAACTATATGTATTATACAAAGAAAACAATCCAGAAATACAAATAAGTTACTCAAAATTTGCTTCACTTAGACCAAAGTGGTGCATTTTGCCAGTTGCAAGTGGTACACATTCTGTTTGTGTTTGTTCTTATCACCAAAATGCCATTTTGCTAGTGGATGCCTTAAATATTGAACTAACGTATAAGGGTTTACTTTTGAAAACTGTTTGCTCAGTAGAAAACAAAGAATGCATGCTTGCACAGTGTGATAATTGTCCTGGTAAAGAACTGCTCACCATGTATTTGTATGAGATTTTTGGAGAATACGAAGATGATTTTGAGATACACTACAAACAATGGCAAACTACTGATCGTGCAACACTATTGAGTTTAACAACAGATGTTCCAACGTTTATTGAACTATTGGTATCTTGTTTTGAAAAGCTACAACCTCATTCTTATATTGCCAAATCTCAATCACAATACCTTAATCAACTAAAAGAAAATATGGATCAATCAAACATTATCATTCTTGGCAACTTTGCTGAAAATTATGCTTTTGTAGTCCAAGATGAAATACAGAGCTATCACTGGAACACCCAACAATGTTCTTTACATCCATTAGTGATATACTATAAAGAAGAAAATGGTGTAGTGAAACATATTTCTTACTGTTTTATATCAGACGACATTACACACGATGTAACTTATGTATACAAGATATTTCAACTAATTATACCAATATTAAAAACAAAATTTCTTGATTTATCCAAATTGCATTTATTCACTGATGGTTGTGCAGGACAGTACAAAAATTGTAAAAGCTTTTACAATCTATGCCAACTAGAGACAGAATTTTCCCTCAAAATTAAATGGAACTTTTTTGCCACGTCCCACGGAAAGTCACCATGCGATGGAATTGGTGGTACTGTAAAAAGGCTAACAGCACAAGAAAGTTTAAAACGACCATACAGAAACCAAATTATCACATCAGAGGCTATGTATGAATTTTGTGTTGAGAAAATTAAGGCTGTTAACTTCATTTACATAAAGGGATTGGACTTACAATTGCAACGTGAAAAGCAAAAAGAAAGGTACACTGATGTAACAACTCTACCAGGTACTCGTAGCTTTCATCAATTTATATATCTTGGAGATAATAGGGTTGGGGCGAAGAGGTTTAGTACAGACACTAAATATACAATAATTCACAATCTTAAAAAGAAACATATAATTGAACCTGATACTGTCACTTTAGGAGGTTATGTTGCGGTAGTTTATGATGATAAGTGGTGGATCGGCATTGTAACTGAAATCAACCTAGAAGAAGTTGATGCTGAAGTTAAGTTTCTCCAACCAAGAGGTCCATCAATCTATTTTAACTGGCCTGAAAGAGACGACCACTGTTTTATTCCTAACATCAATATATTGAAAAAACTATCTGTTCCACAAGCTTGCTCTAGTTCTGGTAGAAACTATGTGTTTGAAAATGTTGAAATAGAAGAAGTGCAAGTAAAATGGCAACAATATTGTGAACTATTACAAATACAGTCAAAATAACTTGCACATTCGATACCTTTAAAAATCTTGTATATTTAAGTAACTTTGTAAATTAGGAATAATTTATTTTAATTGAATTTATAAATATTTTTTAGGAATTTCTTAAAAAAGTTATACATCTTTAAAATTAAAGTTCTATATGTTTCAGTTTTTTTTCCAGTTAGATTTTTTGTGCCTAGTAAGATTATAACTAGCTTAAAATATTGAAAGCAAAAAAAAAAAAAATTTGACGGGGGTGTTTTGAGATATTGGGCCCTTAAGTTAGATTATATAAACTAGTTGATTTATTAATTTTTAAGGATGTTCCTCTAACATTTCAGCATTTTAAGTACATTTATTGAATTCAGCATTAAAAAACCATTATAAATGTATATTTTTATATTTTTGCCATTTTTATTTCTTATTTTATTGAGGAGAACAACTTTTCAGAATGTTATGAAAACCGGGCCATTTTGAGAAACCAGGTCCAAATTAAATTTGCTGTATCTTGTCAACCGCTTGACATTTTTAGCTGAAATTTTGCATGCAATATTTTTTTATAAATAGGAATCATGTGTCAAAATATAAAACAAAAAGAAGACACATGGTTCAATGGAGTGGGTGATTTGATGTGGAATTACCCGTGTGTGTGTGTGTGTATGTGTGTAAATAATGTATATATAAAGATTTATATATACATTATTTACATATACATTAGGTTTGAAGCAGAGGCAGTTGTTCCATCTTGTTCGAAAAAAGATGGATGGTTATTTTGGCCAACTTGTGTTCATGCAATGAAAGCTACCTATAATAATTTTTCAATCAATGATTCCTGCAAAAAGCTTAGACTTAAAAGAGTTAAAGTAACTAGAGGTCATTAAGTTTTACAGTAATTATTGCTATTTTAATTGTTTTATATGAATAAAAAAACTATTATTGTTTTATATTAACGGTGAAGTATTAAATCAAATAAACTATTTTATTTTTATTTCAGAATAAGTTGTATTTTGAATCTGGTTATGGTATTATTACTGCCTAGATTTATATTGTAATCTGTTTACACTTATTCTACTTTTTTGTTTTTACATAATTTTGTTTATATTTATTTTACTAAATAATTACTAATAGATAAAGAAGTATGTGCAGGATTTAATTTCACGACTAAAGAGGACTCCGAAGAAGAATGTAAGTAATTATGTTTGTGAATAATTTTGTTTCTCTTCGGATTTAACTTTTCTTTGTTTTTTATGTAGTAAAGAATAAAAAAATATATTATATTAACTAATGGTCAAAACTGATTTCAATAATACTGTCTAAATTTTTTGACATGTGGTAGTTTAATTACCAGTATAAATTTATTCAGTAAAGTTCTGGTAGATCAAAGATCGAGGAATGATTTGGTTTTAACTGGTTTGCAACTTATGAACGAAGTGCATAATATAATTTAAATTGATGATTTATAGTTACACCTGTTGAAGTAAGTTTTATTTGGTTAATTAATGTATGGATACATGACTATTTTTAGTTGCAAAAATTAAATATATATATATATATATATATATATATATATATATATATATATATATATATATATATATATATATATATATATATATATATATATATATATATATATATATATATATATATATATATGTATATACATATATATATATATATATATATATATATATATATATATATATATATATATATATATATATATATATGTATATATATATATATATATATATGTATATATATATATATATATATATATATGTATATATATTTATATATATATATATTATATATATATATATATATATATATATATATATATTATTGTTATTATTATTGTATAGTATATTATAATAATTATAGGGTTTTTATTTGTCAATATAGGATTACCAACAATATTGCAATATTTTTTTGGAGTAAATAAATGAATTTTGTTGTCTATCAAAAATTGTGGATTTCAAGTCCAGAATTTAAATCCATAAGACACTTTAGTTACAAACACTGTTAAAAACTAACCAAAAGTCTCTAGAATCAACATCTAAGATAAGATACAATGTTTAGTAAACTGAGAATAACAGAGATTTACATCAGACAAGACTTTGTTTATACATTAGCTTATTGCAATATTAAAAAAAACAATTTTTTTTAAGAGAGATGTTCTTATAAAAAAGCTGAAAAACGTAGTTAATGTTGAAAGATGTAGAGTAGAATGAGGCTTGATTTAAAACTGAAGAGAAGTAATAAAAGCTTCCAAGCTTTTATTCCAGAAGCAATATAAGCTTCCAAGATGCACTTTTTGCACACATATTATGGATATAAGCATATTTGTTTGCTATTTGTTTAGATGCTGGCATACAATATCCTTTTATTGTTGTATAAACTTTAGTATTTATATAGTGTAGTATTTGCAGAAAGAGAAAATGATCAGATGGATGTGTGGTGTGACTCAAGATATAAAAATTAGGCATAATCTTAGACAGATTAGAAAAAACGTTGTATTAACCTTTTTTTTTAGAAAAAGTTAAAGTAATTCAGGTATTAACATGTAGAGTGGTAGCAGCTTCAGTACAAAATGGTTGTGGTAGAAGTAAGAAAATTTGAAGAGTGTGCCTTACATAGTGCCAAAATAAAGATGATGATGATTATCATGATGACGATCAACAACATCAACATAATTTTTATTATCATTGTCAAGCTTTCCGCTTTTATGCTGTTGATGATAATGATGATCATGATGATTATGATGATCATATTGATGATGGTGATGATGATGGTTATGATGATTATGATGATCATGTTGATCACAATGATGTTCATACATGCATATATATATACAAAATATAGCATGAATTTTAAGTTTAAAAAATATACTTTAGGATGTATAAATGTTTATGCAGGTCTCAAACCCGGCCCTGGCCCCGGCTATATTTTATCAAACCCAGCCCCGACCCCAGTCAAATATCAACCCCAGTTGTTTACTACAAAACATTTCAAGAATAAAAAACGTCGCGTTATTTTTAAAAACAATTACTTATTTTATGCTATTACGACAATCACAATATATATATATATATATATATATATATATATATATATATATATATATATATATATATATATATATATAATTTATATATATAATTTATATATATATATATATATATATATATATATATATATATATATATATATATATATATATATATATATATATATTTATATATATATATATATATATATATATATATATATATATTTATTTTTACTTTTAAATTTAATAATAATCATACTAATTCAATAACATTTTTTTAACATTTGCTTTCAGATTGATAATGATACAAGTTTTATTTTTTGATTTAGATTCTGTATCTCAATGATATCCTGGCTTATCGATACGATATCCTGTAAATCCACTCACACACATAAATTTTATTCACACACATAAATCTTGTAAATTCACACATAAATCTTAAAAAAGATTTTTTTATTTTTATCTATAAATGTAAATTTTATATAAATAAATTGTATATTTTTTATGTTTTTCATTGTATATTACTATTTGTATTAAAAATCGACTTTGGAAATATAGCAAGTGCAGAGTTCAACATACAATTTTGTTTTATTTGCAAATTCAATATACATTATAACCAAGTTTAATCACGTTTAATAATATTTTGCGATATTTTCTCCAGCGCATTGTAGCGTTGATTTAACGTTATATTTCAACCTTTACTCGACGCCTTTGAGTCACGTTTAATCGACGTTTTACTACCAACGTTACAAATCCTTGCAAAATCAACTGCTTTAACAACGTTAAAGTAACGCTTTTCAAGTAACGTTTTTTCAACGTTAAGTTGGGGCGCCTATGCAACGCTTTTTAAGTAACGCTTTTTCAACGTTTAGTTGAGACATTTTTGTAACGTCTTTTAGTAACGTTTTTTCAACGTTACGCTACAACCTTTAATTAACGTCTCTTTAACAACGTTACATATCTTTGCAAAATCGATTACTTTGTCAACGTTTCCGCAACATCTTTTGCGACCGGTTTGCAACGTTGATTCAACGCTGATATGTTTGCTGGGAAGCGTCGTTCGCCTAAAACAGAAAAAGGATTCAAAACTCTTTCTACATCAGGAATTATTAATTGATGAATAGATATCAGAGCTAAAGAATTAAATCTTGACTCTGTCATGCGGCTTTACATATAAGTTTTCAGTCTGCGTACAACAGAAATGCTCCTCTCGCATTCACATGTAGTAATTTAAATTGTTCCCATTATTAAAAAACCTTCCCTAATGTTTGGGAAACCCTTCATATCAAGAGATTTTAAAGTCTCTGTAATAGTGGATGAGATCACAAATAGATTGTTCCAAAATGTTTCCCACAAATCTAATTCAGCATGAATTGATGAAGGACGATATATAAAAATGCAAAAACTCCATAAAATCTAACTTCCAAAAACATTTTTCTTTATTTTTTTTTACTACAGTTGCAGGAATACCAGATAAACCTTTGTAAACAACCATATCACCTTCATTAAATCTATCTTCTAATTCATTAATTAAATGTCTAGAAGAGGAGATGTGATGGAATATTTGAAATAATCTGAAACTGTGCCAGAGGGATAATTATCTTTATAAATTTGTCTGCCACAGAGCTTTGGTTTAACTTTTGAAACATCAAGAGTCTTAGCTAGATCAAGAGCAATTAAGTACCATTCGTTTTGATAGACATCAGTACTTTCTTTTTAATCTAAAATTTGAGTTTTATAAACAATTTATTTCATTACACATACACTTTACACTTTATAAACAATTTATTTCGTTACACTGTTGTGATATATCAAACGCTTTAGTTTGAAGAACAACAGTGATGGCATAGAAATAGTCCATTATTTGTTTGGTTAAAACTAAACTTACAATAAAAGAAAAATTAGTCATAAGATTTAAAAAACATGAAGCTTTTGAAGAAGTATCAATATTATAACTCTTACTTTCATTGTATGCCATTAATTCCATTGAATGAAAAACAAATATGTAGTTATCAAAAAAAACATCCAGACCTTTAAGTTTCTGAACCCATCTAGTTTGACCTGTATCGATTTTGAGACAGCTGGCACGTTTAGGTGATGAGTTAAAAAAAATATGATATATCTTCAATTTGATCAAAAACATTTCTAACACTCTGAACATTGCATGATTTACTTACAACTAAATTAACTTTATGGCATGCATAATGAACAAAAACAGCCTTTGAATTGATAAATTTAATTCTTGATGAAATACCTTTTAATTTACCAGACACTGCCCCAGCACCATCATATCCTTGACCTCTACATTTTTGGATATCAAGACCAAGATTATCAATTGCAGAAACTATGTTTTGCGCTAGACTAAGACCAGTCGTACCAGATTTACATTCAATGAACCGTAGAAAGTCTTCACAAATAACATTATCACAGTCAATGTATTTTATAACTAGAGATAGCTATTCAACATTAGAACAATCAGAGGCTCCATCAAACTAGATAGAAAAATAACCTGACTAAAACTCCTTAGATTGTTTTTCCACAGCATTCAATAAGTTCGTTTTGTGTGGTTTTAGATACTCTCAAGTTCCTAATAAACGTCCCCTCTTCCCCCCGTTTAATAATTTTTGAATACTTTTCCCACCCACCCTAAGCTTATTAAGACCCGCCCGTTTATTAATTTTTACTTGTCAACAAAATTATATCTCAAAAGTAAAAAAAAAATTTAGTGAAAATCGGCCTTAAAAATTTGAAAACAATTTTCAGTCACCGATAAAAACAAAAACTTTCAGTGTAAACAGGTTTTACAAATTGTCGATCTATTAAATCTCGTTTTGCTAAAAATGAACTTTTAGTTTATTTCTCAACAAAGCTTTGGTTTTAATTATAGGATTTAATATGCTGTATATAAGTTTTATACTTTACAAAGTATAAAACTTATATCAGCATATTAAATTCTATTGAAATTATGATAAAACAGCCTAACCCTACCCTAACAGCTGTTAGAAAATGCGCTTTTGACCGCAAGTCAAATGCGCATTTGACTTGAACATGAATAATTTGCATGCCGAATAAACAGAGGAGGAAGGGGGGGTGGCGTTGAACATGCTCCCCCTCCCCCCGTTTACTAAATTAAAAATCTCCCCACCTCCTTTATTAACCTCCCCCCCCCCCCTGTTTATTACATTTTGACTAAAATTCCCACCAACCCGTTTATTCCCACCCCCCGTTGTATTCGGCACTCGAGAGTATATAGGTTGCATTTTTAGGAGCAGAATAAATATGGTGCTCAAGAACTTTATCACCTGCTTCAATGTAAAAATTTAAAAGCTCTGCAAAGTTACCTATACCAATGTTGTTTTTACATGTTTCTCCTATCTCTGGATGATACTTACTGTCATCTTGATGACCTCGAAAAGCAATATAATTGCGGCCAAAAAAAATAACTGTCTTTATAATTAGAATTGATTTATTTCGATTAATTATAATAAGTTTTTTTCTAAGATGTCAACTTCAATCAGATTTTTTTTTGAATTAGATCTAGATTGCAGCATGTTAAGACAATGCATCGACATTTGATAAAGTTAACAGTTATAATTGTGATTCGAATGAAGTTGATTATTGAGGTATTGTATGGAATTTTGCTTTCCAACAGTGTACATGGAAGGCAGTATGCTCCAGCTTCAATCTGAGAATAAGCTAACCAGGAATATACAAGTAGCATTTTATGTAAAAATGATTATTTCTTTTTTTCACCAGAAACAGGAAAAACAAAAAAAAACGAGTTAGGAATAAACATTTTATTAACTAGATCTAATAACATGGAATCATCTTTGCCAGTAGATAATTGTCTACCGCGCTCATAGTAAGTAGAAACATCATAAAAAGGAAAGCTTGAAGACTGATCTGATGAAGGAACACAATTAAGTAATATTGGATTAGGAGTAACATCAATATATATATCTACAATTTTAGTTTCATTACCTATGCCAAAATTTATGAGAGATTGAACTAATGATTTTTTGATTGAACTAATGATTGAAAATAGATTTTTAGAAGGTTGACAAGATAAATTAAGAACCTTATGGGTAACAGAAGAATGCGATATAACACTTGGCAAAACTGAACACAATCCTCTTTTGAAATCATCATTGACAAATTTCTTTGAGCATAAAACTTCTCTTTTCACAATAGGGACAAAATGATTTGGTGACCACATGTCTTTATCCTTGGAAATAGAGCGACAATCAGTGTTACACCATGAAATACTCAGAATTTCTTTGTTTTATGATCACCACGTGGGTGTATACATACATTAAATAACTTTTTATATTTTTTAAGTCCAAATTCAGGATAAATAGACTGAATTTATTTATTTAACACTGTAGATAATGCAATTAAACAAAGAAAAAAGCAAATTTACTGTTTCTGCAATTGTTATAGGCTTCTTTTTTTATAAGTTCAGCAATATTTATATCATTTAACTCTGTATATGTTTAGTTATAAATAACTCAAATGAAACACATGCCATGAAAACACTAGAGAGTGAAGAAAAACCTTTAGATTCCACTTGGTTTAAGATTAATGGGTCTCAAATAGAAGGTTGCTTTCTCAAACAACTCAACAGAAGTTAATAGTTGAAGAACTTCATATGTTTTATTTGATGAATTTATTAATAAAGCAGCAGAGTTGTAAAGACAGTTACCATTTTCCATTGACCTGCAAAATCATAACAAATATATTATATGTTATGACTTTACAGGTCAATAGAAAATAGTAACTGTCTTTACAACTCTACTACTTTTTTAATAAACTTTCATAATAATACTTGACAAATAATGTTTAGTTAAATATGTTTGTTTTAGTTATATTTAGTATATATATATATATATATATATATATATATATATATATATATATATATATATATATATATATATATATATATATATATATATATATATATATATATATATATTTATATATATATATTATACTAAATATAACTAAAACAAACATATTTAACTAAACATTATTTGTCAAGAATTATTTATTATAAACAAAATGAAACATAAAAAAAAACGTGTTTAAATTCATACTTTAAAACAATATAGTCTTAATTTTCTTTTTGCATGAGAACAAAAGCTTCCATTTCAGAATTTCTTAAAGAAAGAAGATCTTTGTTTACAACAGGAAAATTTGAATTTAATTCTTTGAGATTATTACGAAGCTTTGCTTTGTAAGTCGTAGTATTAGGCAAATGCTTGGCTTTAATGGCATTGGATAGCAACAAATTTATAATTGCAAACAAAAATAAAATTTGTAATAAAAACCACTTATTAGCTAATTTTTGATAAACTTCAATTATTCGAATACTTAAGGTTTTATGCG